CATGCAGGAAACTTCAGAACAGACTGGAAAGCTTGCAAACCCTGGTAGAAGATTTGCAGCTGAAAAACCAAGGTACAATGTGCATTTTTGGAGAGGGCTTGTTGTTTATAATACTTCCTTTCCCTTCAGTATAAGCCTCTGGTCTGTTGTCCCATTCAAAAGGTATTGAATTAGCAATTCAGAAACCTTACTCAAAACATGAGGATTCGAGCCCTAATGTGTGGAACTCTGGGCAGGTCATCCTGCTGTACTGTTAACAGCCCTCATCTAGGGCTGAGTACCTTTTCATGTGGAACTTTCACACACACACACACACACACACACACACACACACACACTTTGTTATTCCTGTTGCCTCTAGACAAGCATTTGTATGATAGTCGCCAAGGTAGAATTACAATCCATGGTCCAAAAACAAAATAACTGGACTGGAGATACAGCTCAATGGCACAGGGGCCTCCTGGAAAGCACAAGATCCTGAGTTTGATCCTGATACCAAAAGCAAAACAAAATGAAACAAAACAACTGTTATTTAGTTGACATGTAATGTAAATGAACAATAAAGGCAGAGGAGACTATAACACCTAGTGAATCACACAAAAAAATCACATCTAAAACTACTAAAGCCGCTGAAACGGAAGCGCATAGAATCACAGTGATGGGCAGGCCTCTGGCTCAAGGTCTAAGCACTGTGGATATGGGAGAGCTATTGTATTTCCTCCTTTTCTGACATAATGTCTTGAATCTGGGAGTCTTTGTCAGAGAGACCCATATTAGAGTACATATGTTATTCTACCTTTCCATCCCTAGATAATGTGAGTTGCTAGGTAAATGGAAAGAAACACTTTTCTTTTCTTTTCTTTTCTTTTTTTAATCGGTATCGGGGATCGAACTCACGACTGCCTGCTTGCAAGGCAGGTGCTTATGCCACTGAGCTAAATCCCCAGCCCAACAAACACTTTTATAAGAATATTTATAAAGTAAATTTGGTCTTGTTGCTAATGAGAGTTGCTGCAAGCATTTACTGAGCACTTCCTGGGGCCCTGTGGTTTCTCCCTGTGGTCCTCAGTGACCCTGGGAGATGGGTGTTGCTGTTATTTTCATAGGAAAATGAGGAGATGGAAGAGAAGAGCAATGTCAAAAAGTTTTGTGTCACACAGGGAGTAGTTGAGCTGGGATCTGATTCCTGGACTTTCTGACTCCAAAACTCACATTTTCTTAATGTTCCAAGGTCATACAGTGCTGTGCTTTTATTCAGAAAATTCCAAATGCTTTTTGGTAACACCAGCTCCCTATGTATGTAAACATTAAGAAAAAACATTTCATCTTTAGTTTATTGTGAGATAGTTTTTACTCCTTAAGGAAGATGTATTATTTCATTGGCCCTATTTTTAATTCACACTTTGACTTATATTTCTGAGTTGCCTGACCTGTACCATCTTCTAATAATCTAAACAGAAGACATGTTATATTTGCCTAAAATGTATTAAGTACTTTTATATTGGATTTGGTGCATGGGTGGGAAGTTTCTTGGAAATTCTGGACAAATTTTTTTTGGAAAAAATTTCAGAATAATTTATCAAAATGTAAAGTACAGGTCTTGGGGTGTATTGCAGTGATGAAGTGTTCACGCAGCATGTGAAGAACCTGGACTTCATCACAGGCGCCAGAAGCAGCAGAACTTTCTGTACCAAAGTACATGGACTCTTTGGGTCTCAAATTCTAATCTTAGCAATTTATTTTATAAGAAATGATAGTAAAACACACAGAAGTCTATATAAAAAGTATTCACTGGCCGGGCATGGTGGCAAATGCCTGTAATTCTAGCACGCAGGAGGCTGAGACAAAAGGATTTCTGTGAGCTCAAGGCCAGCCTAGGTTACAGAATGAGTTCAAGACCAGCCTGAACTGTATAGCAATATTCTGTCTCAAAAAGCCAAAAAAAAAAAAATAGTACTTACCATAGCATTATTTATAGAGAAAAATAAGAAATCAACCTTTAAAAAATTTTATTTACCAATATTTTGGTGTATCTATGCACGACCAAAACAAAACATAAGAACATAAGAGATGTTGATATCTGGTTAAATGAAAAAAGCTAGCTTACACATAACTGTATTTGTGTAAAGAAGAAAACTTGTCCGTGTGGACATAAATTTCCCAATGTCACAAAGAAAACAAAAGAAACTAGACTTTTGAAAAGATTTCTGGCACAGCTTTACTTCTGCAGAAGAGTGTGTGGCTATGGGACACAAAGCGAGCCAGAGCACACAAGATAGGTGCTGCATTTTATTCCCTGATGCTGGTATCACCTCCCACTCCCATACTGGGAGCATAGTCTTACAGTCCATTTGATTGGCTAATTTTTTAGGTGTCATAGTGTCTGGGCACAACAGATCTTGTGACTCAGGAATCTCTGTCACACAAAAATTTATAGCAAGTGGACTGGTGCATGCCCCTTTGTGTTGTCTTTCTAAAGAATAACAAAACAAGCACGTGTACATTTTACGAATATAGCGATACAAAATGGAGTTACCTTAAATTGTGTGTGTGTGTGTGTGTGTGTGTGTGTGTGTGTGTGTGTGCACATTGTGTGCAGATACTCCTCGGCCTATTTACAGAATGAACTCTGACTCTAGCAGACGGGAGTAGAGATGAAGACTGATGTTTATTTCTCTTTGTACCCTCCTGAAGTCTTTAAATTGTGTATTCTTTTGTATTATGTTCATCTGATCTTATCCTGAATATTTGAAACTGAAAAAGTAGGTGTTTACCCTTATATATGTCCCCTAATACCAGTCTTTTAAAACAAATGCCACATTGTAATGTTTAAGAACTTCTTGAGATTTAAATTCATTTGTTGTATGGTAGTAAGCAGATCACTTACTATGTACATAATAGAATTTAAAACGTAAGATAAATAGATTTTGCTATTCTAACTTTTATTTCATCAACATTTTCAGCAATGTCTTCCATGATCAGAAATCAAGAAAAGCGGATACAGAAAGTGAAGGACCAGGAAAAAATGCTACTAAAATGACACCTGACTCGCCTGTCTTTTCAGAAGGATGATGCCCCATCCATTGTGATGTTACTTATAATTAGTGCCCTGTGTACTTTTTTCTTTTTATGTGAAAATTTAATAAAAGGTACTCTGTCCCGTAAACTCTGTTTTGAGAATTTTGAAATAAACTATCCTTAATGCTCTCCTGCTAAGACTTTGAACAGTACTAGTAGGATTTAAAAGTATCCATACAGTATAAGTATTAATTGGTGCTAATTCCAGTATATTAATTGTTTTTATTTTCCCCAGCTTAACAAATAAAATCCCAGGTAAAAGTTCCTTTCACATAAAATGACGTGCTATAATGCCCCAACAAAAGGACAAATCCCAGCCTACAGACAGGGCTTCTTTCTGTGACCTGAACTCAGTGTTTATTCTAGCAATATCAGAGAAGGTAATCAGATAACAAAAGTTATAGGGCCTTGGTCAAAACTCTTAGAAGTTTCTCTTTTTGCATATTAGTAGCTAAAGGAAGGAAATATTTTTGGTTCTCTTTAGCAAGCACATAGATAAGTTCTACACTGAATTAACTCAGTCTGTCTTACATTGTAATAAATTAGGAAATTTTGTACCTGAACCAGATACATGAGACAAGAAAATCAAAGAAATGTTTCAGTTGTGGCAGAACATCAGGTACAACGCAGCAGGGAGCTGCCTTCCAGAGCACACACCCTTCTGCTCCCTAGCACAAGACAGTCCCTGAGGAACACAGGAGTTGCTGCTTGACTGGAAGCTCTGGCTCCAGACCCACCTTGTGCCCAGCTGTGGCCTCTGACAGGCTGTCACCATCAGAATAGTGGGGACAGAGTGTTGGGCACACTTTGAGGTCCAGAGCACTGATAGGGACTTGAGGGTTTTCTCACGTTTCCTGATCACCAGTTGTGAGCAGATCGGGTGAGGCTAGGGGGTCTTTAGGGAGGGCAGCAACAATAGCGGAACAGAGCATGGGGATGACTGTGATGCAGGACCCAGCCCTACGCCAGGCTGTGCTCCCTGGCAAAAGAGCAAAACTGGCATGTGGTCTGACAGGAGGCAGCCTGGGACTGCGTGTGCACCCAGGAGAATCCTGTGCTGCTCAGGACTGCAAGTATTCAAGGCATACCAAACTTTAAATGATGACTTTTTCAAGTGTAAGTTTTAATAGTCTGTATCTCGTAAGTAAATCTTTAGTGATGGATTAATTTTTACATCAGGTAAATAATGAATAGAATCCTAAGGAGATTGTTATTTAAATTGTTTCATCTTTATTCTCTCATAGGAATGCTAAATTTTATAGATGAGTACTGTAAGCATAGTTCTGTGAAGCATTTTCTAATGCTGTTTGTGGCTGGGTTTGTTCTTTTTAGCAAAGACCATCTTTCCCAGATTATATATTGTTCTGTCAGTAGAGACTATGCTTACTAAAGGCTATTTCAGCAGGTAAGATACATTTTCAAGGACAGGCATGCTGAATTTCCCACCAAGCAAAGGTATTTTGGTTTTTACTTTTTGAGACAGTCTTGCTATGTAGTTGCAGTTGCTCTAGAATCTGCCATGTAGCTCAGCCTCCTGCCTCAGCTTGCAAAGTGCTAGATTACAGGTAAAAAGTAGTTTTAAAAGAAATAGAAACATCTTCCCCAAATGAAGGAGGAATATACTCTTCATAGTCTTCATCTGTAACCTGATATTTGCTTTTCCTTTGTGCCTGTCGTTTAGTGGGAGAAAGTATCACTGTTTTATTTTAGATCTAAACTCCTATGATGTTAAAAATTAGTTCTGCTGGGCATGGTGGTACACACCTGTAATCCAGTACTCAGGAGGCTGAGGCAGGATTGCTACATATTTGAGGTCAGCCTAGGCTACAAAGTGAGTCAGAGGCCAGCCTAAAATGCATAGTAAGGACCTGTTTCAAAGAGACCAAAAAAAAAAAAAAAAATTAGGCAATTCAGACATTGCATAAAGATATTAAAATTCAGGTTTTATTATTTATTTACATAAAGCTAAGTGTTTCTTTCTTCTCAGAGCAATGGTACACTTCCATATCACTGTCTTTACAAATTTGTCACCCATGAGGCTACAGGTATGAAAGGAGAGGGAAGACAGTGACAGAAGGAAACAGCTTCTATAGGACCTGTGTCCCTGTGTGGTGACCTGCTGGGAGAGGTGGGCAGAGAGCAGGCACATGCTCAAGGGGCTCTGGAGTGATGATGGGTGCATCGCTCTGGGAGCCAGCTGGACCTGTCCCTTGTATGACTTTCAGGCCACCTCACTCAGCCCACACTCTACCCCCATTCGCGTCCCCTTTGTTCCTGGGCTGTCACCATAACCGGCTCCCTTGATGATGAGCTCTGATTAGGCTCCTGTTGCTACACCAGCATTAGATCAGTAAGACAAGAACATACTTCCTTCGACCCACATCTGATGGGTAAAACCAGACAAAAACCACTGGGGAGTCTTAGAGCTTTAGCTATACCCTGTGACCCAGTGTGGTTTCATCCATACAATTCCTTATGGAAATGCATGTAGGAAAGAGTATTTTGTAAGGCTGTTTTTTCCTTTTTTTTTTTTAAGGGAGTACCGGAGAAATGGGGGTTGGGTCTGTTCTTACTACACTATCTGGACTAGCCTGGATCAAGATCCTGACACGTCAGCCTACAGAGTAGCTGGGGTGACGGTGTGTATCACCATGCCCAGAGTTATTTCATCAGCTTCAAAACAGTCCTTAGCTGTTTCTCATGAGGCTTGCGTTACTCCCTCAGCCAAAGGAGCCCCTACAGGCTCCAGGTTGAACTTGTGTGGCTGGCTGGTTTTTGTGCTCCTTGGCCAGAGTCCACACCTGAAGTTCAGTCAAATCACTCTGGAGACCTAACCCCTGAAGAAATGATGCATGAGCACAAGTGGATCAGCCAGTGCCACAGGGGAAGACATCTGTGTCCACTGGAAGCACTTCTACACAGATATCTCTGCACATTACACAAAAGCCACTTGTGAATTTGCAGCAGCTAATGGCTAAAGTCACTCTGTCTTTATTTTAAATTATTCAGTGTGCTCCACAGCCTGACCCTCCTCCACTTTCTGCTGCAGCCTGCCCAGCACTCGGTAGACTGCGTCAGTGCATCCCCCACCACCCGTGAACCACCTTGTCCTCGTGGCCGGTCACCAGGCGTCTATTGCTGCATTCTTCCCAGCGGGCAACTCCCCCATTCTCCACCAGCACAAACTTCCACTCCACCACCGTATCTGCCGGCAGCAAGACAGAATGAGACCACAGCCCGTCCTTGTGATGGAGGAGTGGGATGTAAGTGTCCCACCTGCCAAGACGCTCGTGGTCTCCAGTTACTGCAATGAACTGCACGTCTGTGCTCGTGAGGTAGTGAACCTGGAACCTGACGCTAACTTGCTTAGACTCTGAAGACACTTGGGCTGCACTTTTTCTTTTCCCGTCCACTTCCCAGTCTCTTGCTGCCACAAGGCTGCTCCTGTTGTCATGCATTTCCGGGCTTAGGTTTACCCCAGAAACCTCCAGGTTGCCACCCAAACCCACATCTCCCCAAGATGAGTGCCTAGACACCATTTCCCAGTCCTCCTGGCCAGCTGGGTCCTGAGTATCCAGCTGTGTCTGGTTCCCTTTCTTAGCTCTGTCCACGGGTGGGCTATTAAATGGCAGCTTATCTGCAAAACATGTGGCTGCTTTAGCAGGGGTCTCTTGTCCTTTTTGGAATTTCTTTTCTCCCACATGAGACTCAAGGCTTTCATTTTCTGAAGCTTCATTCACTTTGGTCTCAGAAATCAAATGTCCATTGCTTTCTTGAAGATGCTCTAAGAAATAAAAGAAAAAAATGTTACATTAGTTCACAAAAAAAGGAAATTAAGCTGAGAAAAGGTTACCATTAACCTTTATGACTATCTGCAGTCCACAAGGGCCTCTCCATTGAAATAAATATTTAATTACCTATATTCCCTGCACTGTGCTGAGAATATGCATGTACTGTATATCTAACAATGAAAGACACATCCGGCAGCATCATGTACTGTGTGAAGCAGTGACAAGTTGTAAAGGCAGAAGTGTAAGCCTGCCCTGGGTCTGGTACAACCCGGAAATGCTAGTAGGCAGCCAAGTGGAGGTGCTTGAGTCCTCTCACCCAAAACTGCTGTCCAGCACGGGGCTGTAGCTCAGCAGCAGCAGCATGCACACTCAGTCTGAGGCCTAGGGCTCAGTCCTCAGCATAGAAACAAAACAAGTCCAGCCGCAGGGTTTAAGGGTTGTATGGCTCCCTACACTCGAAAAGAACCCTATACCCCTACCCCCACCCCTCGACCTCAGCCCTGTCTCCCAGTTCAGCAGAGCTTTCACAGGGAACAGCAGGGGAAGTGACAGGCAATAGGTGGGGTACACAGAGGCTCCTTGCCACCAACCCCTCCTGCATCAGGACCCCCTCTGAAAAAGCAAAAGGATTTCCCATCCCTCCCCATTCATACTTTTTTTTGTAAATAAATTCAAGTCCTATAGAGACTTTATTTCTCTCTTATCAACCTCACTGACAGTCCTGGCAGGTCCCTGGTAGGCGGGAATCTCCAAGGCCAGACAATCATTGACGTGAGCTATGAGAAAAGGGCAAATTTTGTTTCATTTTGCCTCTTTTTAATGGTCAGAGTTGAAAGTGAGAGGTTATCAAATATTACTCCCAATTCTTGAACCTAAAACATGCCTTCAGAAAAGATCAATGAACTTCTGATTCATCCCACACCAATCGCAGGAAAGGCACAGGGCAGCGTTTCATGTGGCTACAAATCATTAACACACCACTAAAAATAAAGTCCACAGATGCTATTTGCGCTGTCAGGCTGCCGTCCAGGCCCAGGCAACTTGCCATGGCGGCGCGGGGTGCGGGAAACACAAGATCCGAGCCAGGGCGTTCTCTGACCGGCCATCAAGGCCTCAGAAACGTCCAGGGTGAAACCGCCTCAGCTCAGGGGCCCCAGTGAGTCTCTTCCTGGGGATCAGCCCACCCTGAGCTGTTGCTGCAGAGGGCCTACAGCTCTGAATCACTGCCTAGTGCATAACCCCGGAGTGGAGTCCGAACTGAACTCTGCCCGCCCGAAGGCCGCAGGAGGGAGCAGGAGGCGCTCGCAGCTCCGCGTTCAGAGGCCCACTCTGGCGCGGGGTGTGGGGCCCGAGGGTGGGGTCATGGGCGGAAGAGGGATGTTAGGGTGGCCTGTAGCTCAGCAGGGTCAAGCGCTACCTTAGCAAGCGTGAGGCCTGAGTTCGAACCCCCAGTCCTACCAAAAAAGAAAAAAAAAAATTTTTTTTTTTAAGTTGCGGGACGCCCGGGACTGAAGTCCTGGTTCGCGGAGGCCCTGACGCACGACTGCGCGGAGTGCAGGTCCCGGGCACACGCAGAGGGCGGACACGGGCAGACCCCAGCCGAGGTCCGCACCAGATACGGCCAGCCGGCCCTCTTTCGCCTCTTGCGCCAAAGTCAAGGCGCCGGGCAGCTGGGGTCGCACCGGGCTGGGGACGTACCTGAGCCTCTAGCGTCCGCGGCCTCCCGGGGAGAGGCGTCCTTGCCCGCGTCGCCGGGGCCGCCCCGCAGCAGCCACACGAGCAGCGCCCCCGCCAGCCCCCCGCCGACCAGCAGGGCGGACCAGACGGCGCCCATGGCGCGGACACACCCACCCCGCGCGCCGCCGCCCCGGTCGGGTCAGGACCAGGGTATCGCCCGGCCGGCGGAGGCCCCGCTCCTCTTCCCGCGCCTCCGCTCCCCGCTCTCCGGCCGGCCGCGGCAGCCCGGGTGCGGGACCCGGCTTCCTTCTGGGGTCCCGCCCCGGACCCGCCTCTCGCACCGCCTCTCGGGCGCGGCCGCGGCCCGGGCTCCGGCCGGCGAAGGGGGAGGGACTCCGGAGGAAACTGCGACCGGCCTCACGCCGCAGCCCCTCGGCCTGCGAGATGAAAGGGCGCCCTGAGGACCTGGGCTGTATAAACGCCACTCTTCTCACCCACATTCAGGGTCCTGCGAAATGCGCGCCCTCTGGCGAGCCAGGTGCTGTCCAGGGACGGAGTTCCTGTAGATAAGCATGTTCATAAAAACAGAAACCTTTTATTAACGTTCAGGAGTCAAATGTTTTATATTCGTATTTCATAGAATTCTCACCAAACAACTGCAACCCTGTGAACTATGAGACACATTTGTCCCTTAGCAAAGCGGCGCTGCCAGCTGCTGACGGCCACAGCTGGCGAGTTTTCGCCTCCGAGTACTTGCTGGCGAGGCTCCCTCTGGCGGGACAAATTCCTCTGCGTCGCTTGCTGAAACAGCTGCTGCTGTTGGGAGCCCTCGGTTAGGGTTAGGGTTAGGGATGACGGGCAGGGAAGACGGGAGGACTTCTGTATGTGTATTTTAACTCAACCTAGGCAATCTCCTTTCGTCCAATAGATTTGCTCCTCAACCAATTAAGGTGGCGTTTGGGATGAAGGTGTCTAAACTGTAGCATGTGTCCTTTAAAATAAAACCGGAAACATAAGTGTTACCCAAATTCTGTGAACCACTCTAGCAATCATCAGATCCAGATGTGGTAGGATCCTCTCACAGGCAGAGGAGGCCTGGAGTCCGGACTGGCTTTTGAAGGGAGTGGGTCTTGAAGAATTGAGCCTCTTTTTTCTTTTCTTTCTTTTTTTTTTTTTTTTTTTTTTTTTTTGTCTTTTTCTTTTTTATTGGTACCAGGGATTGAATTCAGGACCATACACTTGCAAAGCAGGCGCTTATGCCTCTGAGCTAAATTTCCAGCCCCAGGAGGTGAGCCCTTTAAGTTGTGGGATCTGACATAAGTTGAATACGGAAAATTGGATTCAGTTGTAGGGTAAGAACCTAGTTTCCATGGAGAGTTAGGGAATTGCTTGGTGTCCTCCACCACCATCTTATAGTGACCAGAAGTAAAGTTTTGAGAGTATGCAGTAATTTCCTTGCTGCTCAGGTGAAATTCAACCCCATCTCAACCTTCAAAAATCTCAACACTGCCCTAACCGGCTCCTCCTGGTCTTTCTCTATCATTTATCTGCCCTGTGGCTATGTTGGAATTCTGCTGAGATCTTCTTGGTTGCTCAACACATGTCCTAACACCACTTCCTTCTTCGAAGTGAGTTCCTGAACTCATCAGCCCTAGTGGCATCCCCAATCCTCAAATTGATTGGTCACTTTTTGAACTCTGAACTCACACTGTAACTTTCTTAGAGAAAAATACAATGGACTCTTGAGTTATGACACATCTGACAAACAATTTGGGTTATGATTGGAACTTTAGTCTGAATTTATAACCAAAGTCTTGAGTTATGACCTGAATTCTGGTTGCTTGGGGCTCCAAATGGACTTAGACACAGATTTAACCTTTAAAGAGTTCTGGAAGGAACATTACAGCATCCTTTTCTGTATGAGGTTCATTGAGAAATCCTGGGCCAATGTTTCTCTGAGGACACTGAGATCAGCCTATAGAAGGAGAGACTTTGAAAGCTGTGTGGAGGAGCCTGAGTTTTCACTTGACAACTTGAGTCACAACCAGCTCTCCAGAGTAAATCAGTTCCTAAGTCAAGGTCTACTAGGTGAGGTCTTCCCTTGAAGTATAAGTATTTTTGTAGCTTGTCTCACCCTGCTTTAGACTATGAGCTTTCTGAGGGCTAAAGCTTGTTTATTTTTCATATTCCTGGAAATGCCAATTCTATCATCAAATAGATCTGTTCTTATTGGTTTTGTTTAGCTAATACTATTATCTGCCAGCATCTGCAGTGCTGTATAGGGATTACCACATGCAATAACTCCCCAGGGAATCATCTCCCCAAGGTCACTCAGTTGATGAGTGATCAAACTAGGATTTGAACCCAGTATTCTGACCCCAGCACCCATGCTCTGACACTTGAGCTATTTTCAATCCTGATGGCTGTTAAACCAAATTTTAGGATGTACATTTTAGAAGTGAGAGCTGGGGATAGCTCAGCAGCATAAGTGCCTGCCTGGCAAGTGCAAGTGTGTAGGTTCCATCCCAGGTACAAAAAAAAGGTGAAGGCACAAATTGAGGCGTAAGACACTCCAATGTCACCCTTTTGGAACTATCCCAACATTTACAAGGGATTTTAGACACATTCTTGCTTTGTGAGTCATCTCTCTCTGCAAGCCCTGCCTCCTTAGAGAGATCTGTGTGTCACCCAGCACCTGTCCGCTGCTGTCAAAGCTTTGCTCCTGGGCCTCTTCATTCGGCATTAGCCATAAGCAAAACCTCTCTGCAAACCAGTCACGTTGGAGCCACCCGGCTTCAGGTTTCATCGAGACATTTTCTGACTGCAACTGTTTGCAAAACTGACTCATCTTAGTTCCAGAATAGATACTAAGCTAAGCCAAGCCACCATTCTAAATGACAAAACCTTTAGCAAAAGAGAATCTGTGTTGGAAAAACTGGCTCTTTGTGTGGAGGAAAAGACAAATCTGGGCTAGTGCTTTTTACTGTAAAAATTGATAGATTGGGTTATGATTGGAACTTTAGTCTGAATTTATGACCAAAGTCTTGAGTTATGACCTGAATTCTGGTTGCTTTATTGGTTCAATAAAGTCCTAAATTTAAAGGGTAAAACTACAAAGCTGGTAAAACAAAGTCAGAGAACCATCACTGTGACATTGCCTTACAGAAAGAAAAAAAAATTAAATTGAATTTAAAAAATTCTGACATCAAAATAATGCTTTTTTGATATTATGGCATCCAATGAAGTATACCATAAACAAAGCTACTGGATAAATTCAGACTTCAGGGAGATGTTTGTTTTATCTAAGACTGACAATGGATTAACCTCCAGATATACAAAGAAATCAACATGAGATACAAATAAAAATGGACCAGGTGATCTTTTCCTGGTGCCTGGGCACTGATACTCACAGGAATGTTAGCTGAATGAAATGAACAGATACAGCATGATCCAAATCACTGGTAGTCAAATAAATGCAATTAAAACAGTGATGTTGTACCATTTTGCATCCATCAGAGAGGCAAATATTAGAAAGAATTTGTGGCACTCTTTTTGGGAAAACAAACAAGTACAGTTTGAAAGGATTTTATATAGTCAAATATACATCTATCCTGTGACTCAGTAATCATTTTTCAACAGGTACAGCCCACAGGCCACCCAGCCACATATGGAGGGAAAACAACTAAGGAAACGTAGTGGTACCATAAGAGAGTGTCCTGTAGAGTGCTTGGGGTCCCACCTAGGAGGGGCTCAAGATGTCTTGATTGAATAAATGAACATCAGGAAGGGTAGAGTGCTAAGAATGTATTACCACAATTATAGCAAATACATGCCCAGATATCCCCCCTTCTCCACACCCTTCTTTTTCTCCCTCTCACTCTTCTTCTCTCCCTCCCCTCCTTTCCTTCTTTTCTCCCTATCATTTAAATCTAAAGTGTTCCTCCAGATTCTCACATGTATAAAAGGTGATTGAACCATGGGGTGCTCCATCACCAGTGGATCAGTCCATGGGTAAATCTGTAGCTGCCTTGCTCTCTGGAGGTGGGCCTGGCTGGAGGTGGAGCACCTGCCACATACCCTGGAAGGACATATTCTTGTCCCCAGCTCCCCTCTTCTTGCTCTGCTTCCTGGCTTCCATGGGGTGAGCACCTTTTCCTCCGCCAGCGTGGCCCTCTGCCATGCTGTTCCTGCCCTGGAGCAGGCTAACCACAAACTGAAAACGTGAATCGTTCTGCTTCAAGCTGTGAGTGTTGGGAATTATGTCACAGTGACAAGGAAATGACCAAGACACCTTCCTTTATTCCTTTTTTCTCCCTCCCTCCCTCTGTCCTTCTTTCAAGTTGACTGTTATCTTCTTTGGAGAAAATGAGGTAAATGACACAGGACAGACCTAAGCAAACCCCAGTGAGGACAGTTTGGGGTGTCATCTACCTCCTGTTCCTTGTCTTCTTCCTTTTCAATGGTAAACTTTAACTGCTATACCCACCCAAACATGGCACTGCTAATATACTTTGTTAGCTCCTAAGTTTTGTCAAAACAAAAGCAAAATCTCTCAGTATGTTAGGGTGAGTTTGTATGATATTCAGAGGTAAACCTAGAGGGAAGATGAACCCAAAAAATGAATTTCTAAAAGGAAAATTTCACACCCTAAGCTCCTGCTGGGCAGGGTCTTTACCCCAGCCTCACTTGCATGTGCAGTCCTGCCAGCTCCCCTCATGTGGAAGGCAGACCCTGGGGTGCCCAACAAAATGTGCCAAGTCACAAGGAAATAGAGGAGACCAAAATCCTGTGTTAAGTGTTCAGGCTCACCAGTAATTAAAAAATTACAAATGAAGACAAGATACTAATTTTTACTTATCAAACAGATAGCATTTTTTAAAAAAGATGAAACTCGATGTTGGCAAAGAGGTTAAGGAAAAGGAACTCTTTATTTAATCTGTGAAACAGGGAACAATTGGGGCTGGAGATTTAGCTCAGTGGCATAAGTGCCTGCCTGGCAAGCACAAGGTCATGAGTTTGATCCCTGTTGCCAAAAAAAAGAAGGAAGGAAAGATACAAAATCAGGGCACTTTAGTTTTATATATCCAAAGCCTTAAGAAAACCAAAACAGGGCAGGTACAGTTGCTTCATGCCTGTAATCCCAGCATTCAGGAGGCTGAGACAGGAGGATTGCTGCAAGTTGGAGGCCAGCCTGGGCTACACAGTGAGTTCAAGGTCAGCCTCAACTACATAGTGAAATCCTGTCTCAAGCAAACTAAAGAAATAAAACCAGAAACAGAACAAGCAATTGTATGAA